AAGAAAATACAACTGGAAACGTTGAAAAGAAGAAAAAGCTGAACACAGACTATCATAGACTAGTGGAAATTCCACAGAACGTCCTGCTATCTGTCACCTCCTCCCTCCCTTTTCCTCTTCCTCTCCCTCTCCCTTTAACTTTCCCGCTCTGCCAGCTCCTCTCACTCTCAAATCTCCCTCAAACTCTCTCCTCCCACTTTATGCCCTCTATCTGCTCCCTCCCACTTGTATCTTCCCTCTCCTTAACCTCCCCGTCTTCGCTCCCGTGTCCCCTTCTCTCCCTCTCTCTTCCCCGTTTCTCCTGCGAGCCCCATCCCCCTCTTCTCTCTCATCTCTCTCGCCATCCCCCCTTACCTTTCCCTTTGCCCTTACCCCTTTCCAATTCAAATCCCCTCCGTTCCTATTCCCTTCCCTTTCCCCATCTCATTTTCTCTTCACGATCTTCCTTTTCTCTTTTCTTTTTTCTCTTCCTTTTCTCTATTTCTGCACATCCCCGTGTTTTTTTTGTTTTTTTTGGGGCTCCTCTTTTTTTCCCTTCTTTTCACTTTCGCCTACTATCTTCATACTCAACTTCTGCCTTGTGATCGTCGTGTAATTGGTAAATGTGCATAAACTGACGGTCTACCTTAGTGCAGTTTACTAGGCACAGAAAACACGAATGGTTATAATGATAACATATTGCGTGTGTGAGTTATTTTTCAATTATCAACCCATTTTACAGCAAAAAGAAGACACTTCAATTCTACAGTCACAAGGAATGCGACACGAAGCGTGATGTGCCGGCCTAACACACGAACGAAGGAACGAGACACAAACAGAATTATGATATAGATAAAAAAAAAAAAAAATCCTGATACGAGACGTACCCACCCAGAGAGCAATAATCACTATTTAACATAACTTCAGTAAGGAAAATCTCTGCTCTTAATAAAGAGAGCAAAGAAGAAGTAAAACTAGGAAGAGGGAACGAAGATAAGAACTTTTAAAGCTTAGTTTATAAACCTGGTTATTATTTACAAAAATAGGTTGGGTTTTCAAATAAGCTCCTTTAGATAGGTAACTTTTAACCCGCAAAAAGAAACCTGTAAGTTCTAAATAAACTGGTTTCAACCTATACATATCTGTATGATGACTATAAATAAAGATGTTTAAAAAAAAAAAAAAAAAAAAAAAAAAAAAAAAAAAAAAAATAGGAAGAGGGAACGAAGATAAGAACTTTTAAAGCAATTAGTGCACCTACAAAAGCATATATGCCTGCCTGATATCTCACAAGAGAGGCGCGTGAGGCATGAGGCGTGAGGCAAAGCCAGATATGTGAGGACAGAAGCTCAAGTCGTGAGATGATGTGAGGGAAGTAAAGATACTGATGCACAAGACGTCCCGAAATAAACGCGGTTGAGGTTGGAAACTTTAGTGCATTATCGCTAATCATGGTCTGATATTCGTAGATTAGCTGGTCATAAACTTATATGAAAAACGATGTGAATCGCGAAGGGTTTTACTGGTGAAGCGCCGGACTAATGATTTTCAAAATCGATATTACCATGTTTTGCGTACACGCTCGGAGACACATACACACACGCTGAGACATCAGACATACATCTATCTATCTATATATACATATATGTATATATATAATATATGTATAGGTATCTATAAATACACACACATATGTATATGCATATGTATATATATATATATATATATATATATATATATATATATATATATATATATATATATATATTATACATACACACACACACACACACACACACACACACACACACACACACATATATATATATATATTATATATATATATATATATATATATATATATATATATATATATATATATATATACATATATATATACTCACAGTGTACAGACGAGACTCGTACAGTGTGGATTTCTCTACCAAGTGTGTGCGTACACACACACACTCATACACATACATGCATGTGTGTGTGTGTGTTTGTTTATTCTTTTGTTTGTATATATTACCACTCATTTCAAAATACGGCAGTGAAGGTGTAGACAATATACCCTCCCAGTCCTGCCCTAAGCTCCAGTGATTCCTGAATGAAAGCTGAAAGGCAGGGCCGTCAAACTTAGCAACACGGACTGCGAGAAGAATCGCGAGTTTACTTAAGTCTCCCATCCATGAATTCGCGTGCTCCCTACACAATAGAAAACGGGATGTCGCCCCTCGCTCCGCGTGTCGACAAGATGGATTTGTTAACATGTGAAAGTGTAATACCAACAGTGTGAATCCGTTTATCACCCGAGCGAGATCTAATCCTTCTTCGAGCGTATAAATTATTTATATATAGCATTTTATCGTGTTCATTTGCGTTCTAGATCAACATCGGATGGCGATTCTCTTCGTCTGTGTGATTTCGAAAGTAGTACACAATGAATGATGGAAGAAGAGTACTTGTCTTGTGTATCATCTATTCCCGTTTGCTTTTAACTAGACACGTTAAATGGATTCTT